TAGTGTTATATCTTTCATTTTGATGTTGCCTGTCTTCATTCTTCCTGCCAAAATATAATCACTTCTGCCTCCTCTGCTTTGAAATTTCATCTGCCATATATGTAACCATTCCACCACCCTGTCTACATCTCTTTGAAGCCGAGCACTGCACTCCTGAAAATTCACGAAGCTGCCAAGCTTTGAATCATCTGTAAATTGTGAAAATTGTACCCTGCATATTTCAAGTTTACGTAATAAATACAGATCAAGGGAAGCAGTGGACTGGCTCCTGTTCGATGTCTTCCATGTGAATGAATAGCCTTTATTGTCATGTGCACTCGAATGAGTGCGGTGAAAAGTTTGTAATGTTGCCACTTGATGCCATCTTAGGTACAGAGTACCTAGGTACATATATTTTTAAGTATTGTTACAGAGTGAAAAATAGTATTCTTACACAGTAAGAAAAAATATAGGTTAGCATGGGAACAGCTGAAAAAGTCCAGAATGACAACAAAAGTGACCATAAGTGCTGAAGTTGCAGTCCATCCCCGCTGGCCCCAGAGCACGAGGCCGTACTGCCTCCACGTGCTGGTCTCCGTCCAGGACACACTTGGCTGCCGCTCTAGGACTCGGCCCGTGCTGGCTCTGCTGTGGGACTCCGCCCATTCTGGCTCCACGCTCCCAGTAGGGTAGAAGGGGACCGGGGGAAGGAAAAGAAAACCTGTGAAGAGGAGAAAAAAAAGGGAAAGGGACTGGCAAGCAGAGGAGCTCCAACTGGAGCATCCTTCTCAGCCTCCATCTTGGTATGTCATGTCTGATCCATTCACCAGCCTCTTTGTCTGTTTCCTGTCAAATTCATTCTGCATTTTGCTACATTGGAAATGTGTTCTTATCAGTGATACCCACTTGTACAGACTGATGGAAAAAAAAGGTTTAATATGGAATATTACTGGACACTGTGAGTGAAGGAAATGAGCATTGAAAACCCTAAAGTTAAAGTAATACTTGCTACTGGAAAGTGTTTTCTAAAGTCTGTGCTGGTTGATGGTACTGAACTCTTGATTGAGATCTGCAAAACAATTTGGGAACATGGTCAGTATGGACAGAAGGGTCCCTTTCCATGCTGTATGACCCTATAAAAGTCAAATACCGATCCATGTTTCGTTCTCCACACAGCTTTGGAGCTGGGTCAGCAGTCAGTGTTCCTCTGTCATGTTGGAACTAGCACTGGGGAAGGTTTCTTTAGCTGTTGATGGAAAATGCCACACTGGAGAGTAAGGTACTATCTTTGTAGTTTGACCAGTTGGAGTTTTCCCTCTCCCATGCTTTTCCAGATAATTACTATATCTTTGGGTCCAAAAGCACTCTCCCTTTCACCCAATGTGCAGAAGTGATTTACAAGAAAATTCCAGGAATGGGAATCTTCAGTTATGACAATTGATTGAAGCTGTGCATGGGCAGCATGGTGGCTCATCGGTTGCCACTGCTGCCTCTCAGCGCCAGGGACCCTGGTTCGATTCTAGCCTTAGGTGACTGCCAGTGTGATGTTTGTAGGTTCTCCGTGTGTCTGTGTGGGTTTCCCCGGCTGTTCTGGTTTCCTCCCACAGTCCAAAGATGTGCAGGTTAGGAAGATTGACCATGCTAAATTGCCCATTGTGCACAGGGATGTGCAGGTTCGGTGGATTAACCATGGTAAATGCGGGGTTACAGGGATAGGATGGGGGCATGGGTCTGGGTGGGATGCTGTTCGGAGGGCTGGTGCAAACTTGATTGGCTGAATGGCCTCTTGCCCCTCTGTAGGGGATTCTGTGATTCTGCGTTAAATTGGGATTGCTATCTTTGGGAGAGAAGAAGGTTGAGAGGATGTTTGACACGTTTTTAAAGTCTTGAGCAGGTTGGATAGAGTAGGTAGGGGGAAAAAGCAATAAAGAAGACGGTGTAGATTAAAAGTAATATGCAAGCGAAGCAAGGATGATGTGAGGGGAATAAATCTTTTGACACAATGAGTAGTTTAGGGTATGGAATACACTGCCTAGAAATGTGGAGGCGGGTTCAGTTGAGACATCCAAAAGGACATTAGATAATTGTTTAGATGGAAATAATGTAGTGGGATGTAGGAACAAAACAGGAGGTTAGTACTAGGTAATAGAATCAGTACAGGTATGATGGGCCAAATGGCCCTCTTCTGCAGTGTAACAATACTTCCCACTGCCTCAAAGAAACCAACATAATCAAGGACCCCGCCCACCCTAGTTTTGTGCTCTTCTACTCTCTTCCATCGGGCAGAACATATAAAAATTTGAATATACATACGAACAGATTCAAGAATAGCTTCTTCCCTGGTGCTATCAGACTTTAAGCGTACCTTTCAAATGTTAATTCTGATTTCTCCATGACCTCCTCGGTTGTTGTAACACTGTATTCTGCACTCTGTTCTGCTACCCTTAGAGGCACTTTGTGTAGTATGGTCTGCCTGTATAGCATGCAAAACAATGCTTTTCATTTGTATCTCAGTACATGTGACAACAACAAATCAAATAAGCACAAGCTCAATTCTGTGATCCTGTGATGTTGAAAATAGATCTCCAAGGCTATTAAGGGTCGTACCTCTTCTCCTGTTTATAGACTTTGGCTGGGATTCAGTCTGCTGAGGGGACTTTCAGTGATTTTATTTCTGATGTTTTGAATCTTCACTGGTTGATGGTGCATCTACCTCAGACTGCAGTTCCCTCTGGGAGACCTTTTCCATGCACCATCCACTGGGGATTAATTAGGTTCTTCAAGTACTCTGATCCAGTGCAAGATGGACTGCTTATCTGTGAGTAGGATTGCTCCATACAAAGATTTTAGTGGTGCCTGCTTCTGGTCAGCAGATAAACTTGTATATCTCCAGCCTTTGATAATGTCCCCTATATCTACGTCCATTTGTTTCTTCCCAGGAATCACTGTCTCCATGCTAGATGTCTGGGAAGTTGGTTTGCAGAAGGCTCCAGACTTGTCCATATACAAATTTTGTTGCCTAATCAAGAGGACATGCAAAAATCTATTGAGGCAGGAGTATTTCATCTGCCATGATGTTGATAGAACCTCTGAAAAACAATGAACTGATTGAGGCCTTTAAGATTCTGACAGGCTTCATGGTGTTGATGTTTCTGCTTGATTCAAGCCAAATTTAGAGTTCTTGAATAGACAACAGTAACTAATAAATCCAGTTTGTTTTTCAGGAGACATTATATCATCACTCAGACAGTAGAAAGAATGGGGAACACAATGCAAAATAGAGTTGTGCGAATGGCATAAATCCATTTTAAGGAAAACTAATTAAGTACATGAGGGAGACTTTTTAAAATAATCATTGAGGGGATGTGGGCTTTGCTGCCTGAGACAGCATTTACTGCCCATGCCTAGCTGATCATCTTGAACTGCTGCATTCTGGTGGGTATGAGGAGACCTGCAATGTTTTTAGGGTGTTCCAGAATGTTTGACCCAGTGGCAATGAAGGGACAGAGGATACCCTGGTGAAGCGTTGTCCTGATGGGTCAAATGGCCTGTTTATGTAATTTCTGGGAAACTCTGTTAATCCCTACCTGGATCAATATTCAAAAATGTAACTGTGGATTGAATGGGTGAAAATAGTTAAAGAGACAAATGTCTGCAATGGAGAATTAATTAGTGCAAAGATATGAAAAACATTGTCAAACCTGGTCTAAATGCAGAGCCTTTCTCAAGTTTCAAAATATCCCAATGTTTTTACAGCCAATGAAGTATTCTTTAGACTTTGTTTTCATTGGGGCTTGGGAGCCCATGTCGAGATGGAAAGCCACTAATTGGGCCAGAGAAAAGAGACAAGTTTGACTCCCCAATATGGTGAGGTGGTGGCATAGTAGTAATGTCACTGGGTAATCCCTGACTAATGTTCTGAGAGCATGGATTTGAATCCAAGCATAGCGTCTGAATGTTGAATTCAGTAACGTTTGGTAATAATATAAGCTCGACTAAATTTACCATAATTTTCAATAAAATAAAATCCATCTTCTTCATGAATGCCCTTCAGGGGAGAAAATCTGTTGTCCTTACCTGGTATAGCTACATGTGACTCACAGCAATGAAGTTGACTCCTAACTGCCCTTTGGCTCTCTAGGTGATTTCAATCAGCTCAAGGGGCAGCAATGTCTACATTTCATGCAAGAATGCGTAAAAGACCGTTTAGCCCATTATTTTTGGACCTCAAAAGTGTGAGACAATTAGACCCCCTCCCCTCTTGAATCAGCTGTTTCGCAAAACATGGAATAAAATATATAAACTAAAAAGAATTGAATAAAAAACTGGCTGTATAAAAATCCATCTGATTCATTGGTATTCTTTTTGGGAGGAAGTTTGTCATCCTTACTTACCTGGTCGGGACTACACGCTGCTCCAAACCCACAGCAATGTGGTTGACGCATAACAGCCCTTTGGGCAATTAGGGATTATAAATGCTGGTTCCAGCTAGTGATCCCCATATCACATGAGCAAACAGAAAATAAATTAATGGGGATAGGCATTGCTTGAAGACTGTTGCAGAAAAGCAAGCAAGAGATCAGAAGACCCACCAGCATTGCTGTTCAGATAAACGATGATCTGATTAATGAGAGGAAGCTATTTGAAACACCCTATTTAACCATATAACATAATAGCTCATCACATTGGTCCTTATCATGAAACTTTTATGTTGATCTCCAAAATCAAACAGGTCCTCCGTTTGACAGGTTTTCCCAGTGACGGTTGTAAACAAAATATACTACACCCCTGAGGGGTTGTGTCTGTACAGTATGGATTCTGACCAAGACATTGGTGCCCATTTCACTCACGGATGACCTTGTCAATCTAAATTTCTTTTGAAACTTTAAATATGTTTATGCGGCTGTGCAGGTTTTGTAATGCTGGTAGTTGCCAGTAAAGACCTTTTTTTTTTTTGCAGAATCATTTTCGTAATGTATTAAGAGCTGGGTTTTCTTCCACTTCTTCTCTCTTGACTTCAGGATGTCCTGAATAGATTAGGATCCTGTGACCTAGATGAGGATGACTTGATGCTGGACTTGGAGTTCCTGGAGGATCAACATCGTCAGTGTGACAGGGATACCACCAGACACATTGGTAGGTCTTACCAACCTTAACTCTTACTTGATGGTAACTAGCATTTAATGCACTTGTATCACATTGTCCTGGTATTTTTGCAGGAGTCTAACCAATTTAACATAAACAGCCTAATGCCTCCTCAAAACAGCAAATAAGGAAACCTTGTTAGATGGATTGTGTTCTGTGGTTATGTGGTTATGTTAATACGGGAAACAGTATCTTCTTATAGCATATCAAAGCCACACCTGAAGTCCTTAAGAAAGCTGCCTTCAAGCACCGGTGCACTAACCCACTGGTGTTATCTTGTGATCTAGCAGTGGGGTTCCTACCTGTGGGCCGCAGGATCTGGGCTGAAGTCCCACCTTGGGATGTAATGGCTATGGACATATGTCATAACATGCACAAACATTATTTTTGTTACAAGTGCTTCTTTTTACACTCACCTATTTAATGCTGTAAGAACACAATAATGATAAATGTTTGGTGAGAGGGCTTAGAAGTTTCACATTAGGTAATTCTCTTGATTCAAGTCAGTTTTATCTCTGCTTTTTTGGCCACTCATAAAGGGTCATTTTCATTTTAAACATGCTAGCCCATGAGAGCAATGGAAAACTTTGTCAAATTTATCATTGCTTTTGTAACTGTTATTGCTTATTTTTTTGCCTTATTTTCTCATGTTAGCCCTTTCTGAGTTGGGTGATAAGAAGTAGAAGGCAGAAGGTCCTCTCCATCTCCATGTGGCACATGAGAGGCATTCACAGGGACTGGCCAGAAGAATTTTGGCTACATTTCTCTCTGCAGCAGAACTAGTCAATTATCCATTTGTTGTTTTCCCTGCCTCATTCATTCTGAAAAAGACCAAGTGAAACCTTATGAATTTGACTCATAATTATTCCTTTGAACTTTGTTTGTTCAACCATCTGGAGTGTGCCAGTGTTATTATGTAGATTTGTATGTCTTTGTATGTGCTAACTCTTGCCTTTAAGTAGCTGAAACCTTTGTGGTAGGATTTTGTTTTTGGCCTTGTAGATCTTCTGGTTTGTGGGACTTGTGCTTTCAAGCCAAGTTATGGCTGTTAATTAAGTAGGGAGATATTACAATAAGTACAGATTTTAAATGATTTCAAAACAAAACATTGCCTGTTCTGAACTCTGATGCCCTGAAGGAAGCTTGGTAAGTGTAGATTTTAAATTTGTCTTTGTTTAATTTTTGATGAATTCTAACAGAAGAAGGCTGTAATCTGTTTGCTTTCTATATCTTCTGGCACCTTTTCAGAGAGATGTGAAGCAAATCTCTGAGAGTTTAAATTAAAATTGGTTTAATGTTAGCATACAGTGTTGATTCCAATTTGCATATTTCATTTACCTGACCACAGTTTTCCAATGTTACAGAATTCCAAAGATTAAATAGTCAATGTGAAAATCGCTATCCTAACTTGCTGACTGTGTAATACCCTGCAGCTAATTTAAACTGGCATAGATCCAAATACAAGTATTAGTTTAATGCCCCAATGAAATCAATTAAAAATTAATTACAACATTTGAAATCATTTGAATTTTGTGGAACTGTTATGGAAGCTAAAAATCTGTCAAGCGCTTAATAGGTACAAAAATATCTGGTGTTCTCTTTCATTTTATTGGTGCCTTTGCATTAGACAGTAGCAAAGAAATACAATCAAAATAGACTACCATGTCATTTGACCATGGTCTCTTTTCAATTGGGTCAGAAAAGCTTTTGAATGAACTAAATGGGTATTATTTTTATACACCCATTGTAGTGTTTCTGTGAAGTTGAGTTCACATTAAATTTAGTCTGTCTGTTTTAGCTGTACCCATTGTTTAATTTTCCCAGACAACAAGGTGCAGGGCTGGATGAACACAGCAGGCCAAGCAGCATCATAGGAGCAGAGAGGCTGATGTTTCAGGCCTAGACCCTTCGTGGCTTGAAGGGTACTAAGTGGAAAGAACAATGAAAAACAATTGGTACAAATAGGAATATATTGAAGTTGTCATTATGCCACTCTACTGCATTGTTGGATTTAGTAGCTAATATCAGTAAAACAAAATGATATAATTGAGGCAAGATTTCTGCTTCACTCTCAAGTTGTGAGAAGTAGATGGATTTTGCAGAATGATATGAGTCAGTTAAGTGAGTGGGGGAGAAATGGCAGATTGGGGCGATGCAGGAAACCACGCTATTGGCAGCTGTTACTACCTAGTTGGGACTATTACTCTAGAAATGAAGCCTGACTGTATATAATCTGTATAATTTGACTGTAAATATAATCAATTTAACCTCCAGGGTGATTAGTTTCTGAGTGTGAGCACTACTTAAGATAAAAGGAGCTCACACCAGTTAACATCATTGTAAAAGGGAATCAAAGACTGATTTATTATCACAAGCCAGTTCTCCAACATGTAACAAAAGCAGATTATAAATTACAAATGCAAATTTAAGCAAAAAGGCACAGACTCCAAAATCAAAGCCCACTCAAAAAGAGGAAATAAGATGACTTTTGATATCAACACATATCGTGGTTGGTTTTTGGTAATAATCTCGATCTTGTCAACTGTAGTGATTCGCTATTCAGTAACTGATCAATTAGACCTAGGCCTTGGCTTGATTTGGAATCTTTCCTTTGCAAGTCTTTGCAATTCAAAAGACAAAGAGAGGGAGATTTTTCTTGCTGAAAAACTTGTTGGAGGTTATCTTTGAACTGAGAAGTGAGAGATAATTTCAATGATGAGCTCAATCTAAAACATGTTACTAGACAGTTAATTTTTTTTTCAAAGATCCAACACCTGATGCTGATCCCAGCTTCAGACAAAGTTATATGCTCTGGTGCAACAATGAAGTGACCACACAGTTGTACTTTCCTTCAGATTTTGAAAAGAATAACTAATAATACAAATTGGCATTTTTTTGTTCCATACTTCGAAATAAAACTTGAGTGGTCTAAAGCAAAATATTATGCAAGTGGAGAAAGATTGCAGAATACCTTAGTGCAGATAGACTGAGGTGTCCTTTAAATGAATCACAACAAGTCAGCGTGCTCATTCAATAAGTAATTAAAAGGCAAATGGATTGTTGGCCTTTATTTTAAGGGGAATGGACGATAAAAGTGGGGATGTCTTTCTACACAGGACATTGATGAGAACATACTGAGAATGCTGTGTACAGTTTTGGTCACTTTACCTAATGCAGGACATAAGTGCTTTAAAAGCAGTTCAGCAGATGCTCATTTTGCTTTCAGTCTAATTTTTAAGCAAACTACTGCTACGCTTGTAGTCAGTAATAAAGGAACAAATGAGTGGGGCAAACATACTTGACCTCATCCTCACCAATCTGCCTGCCACAGTATTGAGGAAGTGACCACCGCACGCTCCACGTGGAGACAAAGTCCCGTCTTCACATTGAGAATACCCTCCATCTGTTGTGTGGCATTATGATGCTAAATGGGATAGATTTTGAACAGCTATACCAACTCAAGACTCGGCATTGAGACACTGTGGACCATCAGCCGCAGCAGAATTGTACTCTTACACAATCTGTAACCCCTACAGTTACCTTCAGGGCAGGGGAACAACCCTGGTTCAATGAAAAGTGCAGGAGGGCATGTCAGGAGCAGCATCAGGCATACATAGAAATGAAATATCAACTGAGTGAGGCTACAACATCGGACTACTTGTGAACCAAATGACATAAGCAGCAAGTAACAGACAGGGCTAAACAATTACACACCGATAGATAATATCTAAGCTTTGCAGTTCTGCCATATCCAGTCCTGAATGCTGGTGGTGGACAATTAAACAAAAATTAATTGGAGGAGGATATTCCACAAAATTCCCATCCTCAATGATGGTGAGCCCAGCACATCAGTGCAAAAGGTGAAGTCGAACTATCTGAAACAATATTCAGCTGGATTTGCCAAGCAGATGAACCATCTTGGCCTTCTCCAGAGGTCTCCAGGATTACAGATGCCAGCCTTCAGCTGATTCAATTCAGTCCATCTAATATCAAAGATGACTGAAAGCACTCAATGCTGCAGGGTATAGATCCTGACAATATTCTGGCAATAGCACTGAAGACATGTGCTCCAGAACTTGGCCTGCCACTAGCCAAGCTATTACAGTACACGTCCAACATTAGCATCTACCTAGCAATGTGGATCACTGCCCTGGTGTGTCCTGTACACAAAAAGCAGGACGTATCCAACTAGTCCAATTTCTATCCTGCCAGTCTACTTTCAATCATCAGTAAAGTGATGGAAGGGGTCACCAACTGTGCTGTTAAGCAATACTGGCTTGGCAATTATTTGCTCACTGATGCCAAGTTTGGGTTCGGTCAGGGCCTCTCAGCCCCTGGCTTGATTACAGCCTTGGTTCAAACAACAAAAGAGCTGAATTCCAGAGTTGAAGAAAATGACTATATTTGACTAAATGTGGCATCTCCGTAGAAATTGAAGCAGTCCTTTTCAAATATAGCAAGATGTGCAGATAGAGAATCTAACCATACCCTTTGACATTCAATAGTAGTGCCATCACTGAATCTGCCGCTATCAATATCTTGGGTATTATCATTGACTGTAAACTAAACTGGAATAAATATAATGGCTACAAAAGCAGATCAGAAGCTATCAATTCTGCAACAAGTACTTCTCCTCTTGACTTTCACAAGCCTGTCCACCATCTACAAGGCGCAAAGCAGGAGCATGACGAAATACCTCCCACTTGCCTGGATGAGTGCAACTTCAGTAATACTCAAGAAGCTTGACATCAACCAGGATAAAACAGCCTGATTGTTTATGACAACATTCACAAAAATTCACTCCCTCCATCACAGATGTCCAGTAACTGCAGTGTGTACCTTCTACAAAGTGCAGCAATTCACCAGGGTTCCTTCAGACAACTCTTTCAGAACATGTGACCACTATCATCTTGGAACAAGGGCAGCATACGCACTGTCAAACCACCAACAGCAGGTCCACCTCCAAGTCACTCGCCACCCTTACTGCGGTT